TTAGAGTTGTCAGTGATCCTAGGATGGGACCTGCCAAAGTCCCCAAGATTGTCTTTTTTTTTTTAATTTTAATTTTATGTTTTTTTTTTTTTTTTGGTTTTTCTCTGCTACCGGGAAGCAAACTCACAACCTTGCACTTGCCAGGCAGGTGCTTTTGCCGCTGAGCTAAATCCCCAGCCCCCACAAGATTGTCTTATTACAGAATTTTCCCTTAAGTTAATTTTAGGAAGAAATATAATCTAGGCCTATAACATTACTCTAGCAAGGTAGTGAGGGAGTTAATCTGATCTACGAGAGTGTCCAGTGTGCCTTGAACAGTCATCAAATCTTGGCTAAGTGTTTGATCGATTGTTTTATTCTCTTAGGGCAGCCATCCACTGTGTTTAAGGCAAAACCCACAGCTAATGGGGAGTCAGGGAAGCAAGGACTGGTCCAGGGGAATAGATATGGAGCAGTCCTGTGAACAGTATCCTTAGGCTTCAGCTGTGCATGGGCTGATCAGCATCCAGAGTGGCCAGAGCAGGGCTTTGAGTGAGTTGTCCATTCAGAGTGAGCCCTGGAGGAACTGTCCAGGTAAATTCTCCAGAATTCTGGAATGATGGATCTAAATCTGGATTTCTGAAACTTGTAGAGGTAGTTAATATGCACCTGGGTTATATGTATGTGCAGGAGTGCCTACAGATATAGCTATCTTTTAGCTAAATTTTTTGTGGAGCTAGTTACAAACCATGTTGTTGACAGCATGGAGATCTTGCCCAGGATAACTAAGAGTCTGTCAGGCTAATGTGTGCCTGGATGTCTTTTTGTGCTTCTTGTGACATCTGACAGCAATGGGGGTCCCAGTGAGGCAGTATGGTTGATGCACAGGTCTGGAGGTGAGTCTTGGTTCATACCTCTGGGAGGAAAATTTTCAGAATTTCAGGATTGTGGTTATCTGTCTTGGGCTGATGTAAGTGTCATCTTCCTTCCAGGGAAAGTGTAGGGTCAAATGAGAGGGAGACTGACTGGCTTGGTTACAGGAATTTATGTTTAGTGAGATGTCTTCCCCTAGCTGCAAGTTTGTGCCTGACAGAAGGGTAAGAAGCAAGAGTTCCAGTTGCCCCAGTGATGGTAACTTTTTGACAGAGAGGACTTTTGAAGGCAGAGAGTTCTGTTCCATTGTCTACCAGGAAAGTCACAGGTTTGTCCCCAACTTTGCAATGACCACAGGCTCTCAGGGGATCAGTTTGATAGTGCTTGGTCTGTCCCATCCATCCAGGCCTGACAGGATGAGGAAAGGTTCAGTTAAGGTGGGCCTGGATACTCAGGTTTCTTTCTGTCTTACAGATGGAAAGGGCATTTATTTTTGTGTCCATAGCCCCTATAACTTGTAGCTAGAGGGTATGGTCATTTATCAGACTGGATTTTCTTACAGATATTAGATGTTTTTCTTTTATCAAGTTTCTGGGTAACAGTGGTTGATGGACTTTTGGTTCCCCCTCTTTGATGTCTTTGAGAAAAACTTGATTGATTTTATGCTTCAATGCTGGGTGACCTCTGGGAAAGACCATGGCAACTCCCACATCAGGGCTGACAGTCCAATTTTTTTCAAAATGTGGAACTCAGAGAAGGAATTGATGACAGTCATTTTGGGTGGACATTAGATGATGCCATCTGACCAGGATAACTGTTTCCAGGGAGGACTCTGTGGCCGAATGCAGGCAATGACTGATTGAAGTAGAACCAGTTCAATTGGTGGGAAGTAGATGAGTCAAGAATGGGGAGTGAAACTGTTGGCAGCAGCTGCTGTGGCCAATGAGGGTGCCAAGGTGGAATTCTCTGGAAAAATGGGCTTCTTTTTTTTTTCTTTCTTTCTTTTCTTTTCTTTTTCTTTTTTTTTTTTTTTTTTGAGATGAGGGAGCAGATTGGTTTCACTTTTAACTCTGTGAAAGCCCTTTTGCCTACAGTCAGGCACTGTGGGTTTTGACTTCCTGTATGTGTGTTATGTACCCTTGAATGACAGTGAAACAGACAAAGAGTGGGTGCCCCTCAGAAGGAGAGACCATTCAGATACCCACATGGCTGCACCCCTCTCGGGGACTTAGGTGTGACTTAGCTAAGGAGGGTGTGAGCCTCTGTTATGCCATATGTCAATTGCCACAGAACCACAGGTGAGGGCCCAATCAACCACTGCAACCACTGCTTGCCAGTGTTGGTGCACAGATGGAGCAGCCTATTGTTTACACTGTCCATTCCACTCACTCACTCACATTCATTCACATACAGGCACTCAAGGTTAAAACATCCCAACCCCCTTCTCTCAAGAGTGGTCCTGACTAATGAGAGCTGACTGAGCTGTCCTTCTGCTCAAGCTGAGCAGGACTGACAGACTAACTGGGGTGTCCCCAGGGGTCTTAGCAGAATCAGGCAGGCAGACAGACTTCATCCTCCTCCCTTTGGGGTCCAATGTGAGCCACTTAAGTGGGGAACCAGGAATCCTCCTTCAGAACTCTGAGGGGACTTGAGAAATCTTGAGGGTGCACCTTCCAGGCAGGACTTGGGGAGGTCCTTGCTCTGTCTGTGAGGGTCACAAATGGTGACTAAAGAGGTCAGCATGATCAGACTTCCTAGCCAACTCAACAGATGCAATGGCAAACAGAAACATGGAAATGACACCCAGGATTTGGAAGCAGGTTTCTTTGTGTCGATAGGCACTGATAGGGATCACTCTCAAAATACCAGGCCCTGACCTTTGGCAGTCTGGGGCTTAAACAGGATAAGCAAGAAGGAAGTACAGAGGCATAATAGCTTGTCATTTAGGTATTGGGTTTTTTTGTTTTGTTTTGTTTTGTTTTTTGAGACAGGGTCTCCCTATGCAATTCAGGCTGGCCTTCAGTTCACTTTGTAGCCCAGGTTGGTCTCAAACTTGCAACAATCTTCCTGCTTTAGCCTCCTAAGTTCTAAGATTACAGGCATGCACTACCACACCTGGCTGGGGATTGGTTCCTACAATATGCATCACAGTGACCAGCTATACATCACAGTGACCAGCCCTTTCTAAGAAACAATACTAACAGGAACTGTAACCAGAACTGTTACCTGGGCAACTCACCAACTGAAATATATTGGCTTGGGAGGGAGGAGGCATCTTCTGCTACACAGTGTTGGAAAAGGGCAGAGGGGTGGCCCTGGGCCAGAGGCTCATTATGGTGAAGAAGAACCCCTGAGTCAAGCCCCCAAATGGAAGATAGTCTTGGGATGACTGAGAAGGTTCCTGTCTGAGAAAAGATCTGGAGAATCAGCCCCAAACCCAGGCTTGGAAATGGGACCCCTAAGATCAATTTTTGGTCTACCTAAATAGGATTTTTAAAACTTAGAGGTTGATAGAATCAAGCAGTTTCAGAAAGTGTTTCACATTTCCCTGTCCTCACCCGACTCAGGAGACCACAATTCCTGGGCCAGGAAGATATCTATGGTGCTCAGTGAACATCACTGTGGAATTGTATCTCCTCCACTTCCAAATGCCACCTCAGAAACACTTGTATGCCTAGTGATTCCATACCTTTGTTTTGGTAACAGCTTAGGATATCTTGAGTTTTATCAAAGCATTAAAAAAAAAAAAAACTTCCAAGGGAGAAGAACGTAAACTCTGTCTTGGGGTGGCAGGTTGACAAGTTGTCAGGGAGCACCTCAGAGCCCAGTCGTGGCCCTGAAGTGCACCTGCTCCTCCAAAAAGATCGCAGGTGTCACTGTCCACACTGGTCTGAGCACCTCCCTAGAGCTTCCTCAGCCAAGGGAGATGTGCTCCTTCCCCATCATGGCCCTGGAGCTCCATCTTTCTGCTTCTCCACAGACAAAGACCCCTACAGTTTTGGAAGGACGACCATAGCAAACCTGGAGACCCAGTGAGTGTGGGCCCTGGGAGAGGGTTGCAGATGGGCGAGTCCACAAGGAGACAGAGGAGGCTGATGCACAGACCAGGGTGGGCAGGCTGGTGACTGGACACCTTCCCAACCATCAGGCAGCCAGTCTGGGGGTATTGCAGGGGTCTTAGGGTACAGAGGGCTAGTAGGTCCTGGCCTCTGCCTGATATTCACTGGGCATTTGGAGGCATCTGCTATAATGTAGACAATGGTCCCATCTCCTCTGTCCACTCAGGGATAACCTGCTCTGGGTACATGCTGTCCTTGCTGTTGTCTACCTCTCCCTCACTGTGGGCTTCATGAGGCACCACACCCAGTCCATCAAATACACAGAGGAGACCTTGGTAAGTGGAGGTAGGGTTTCGGGGCCCTACACAAGCTCAGCAGAGCCTCTACCCTGGTTTGCATATTGGGCCTCACTTGACATCATCTTTGTGTTTTAGCCTCCTGGTAGATTGTTTCAAGATTTGGACACTTTCCCCGCATTCTGCCAGCTTGCTCTTCGATCTGTGGGGTTGGGCTGGATTGACTAAGACTAAGGAGAGAAGTTTAAGTTCAGGGCCTGTGTCAGCTCAGAGGCACACTATTTAACCAGTGTGCCCAGCCTTGAATCTGTGCCCCAGCACAGCAGAAGAGAAGGGACGTAGAGCTGAGGGCAGCCCTTCTTTCTGTGTCATGACTCCAGCCCAGGTCTCTTCTGTGGTTTTGTCACTCACTTGAGTGACTCTGACTCTCTGAGTGTTCCCTCAGCTCCTTCCCTACAAAGAACCCTCTGAGAGTTGCTTTGGACATGGGTTCTTTGTAGCTGGCAAAGACCGTAAATACAGTAACTTGCTGGATGCCCCACAAGGCCATGGGACAAGAAAGCCAGGCCTTCGGATTCTCTTTTCTTTGGAGACTGAAACGGGAGGGAAACCTGGGCCACCTGCAATGGCTTGCCTAGTGACTTTTTCTCCTGGTGTTTTTCTTTGGCAGGTGAGACGTACCCTGTTTATCACTGGAATCCCCAAAGGTGCCAAGAAAGAGGCCTTAGAGAGCTACTTCCAGTAAGTGGGGCTGAAGAACGATGGGGTTTGGTGGGGAGAGTTGTGGTGAGTCCAGAGGCAGCACTCCGGGTGTTGGGCAAGGAACCTGTGAGGTATCCTATCCTCTGTAAGCAGCTACAGCTGTTCCACATGACCAGTGTCCAGAGGGTGGGCCTGGACAAGAGCAAATAATCACCTTGAGAGCACATAGGAAAGAAAGTGATTCACTCCGGGTCTGAGCATCTGCTCTGTACAGTTAGGGACCTGTGAACTGAGCATTTCTGTCAAACAACACTCAAGTCATGGGCAGAGAGGATCTTCATCATCTGTGGGTTGGTCCCCAAACCACCCAGCAACTATCTGCTGAAGTCCAGCTCTGCTGCCACAGCTTCTTTCCACAGCATCCACAGGCCTCTGCACCGATGCCTGCAGGTGGAGGTAGGAGGATGTGCTCAGCTAAGAACCAGGGAAAGCCATGGGGCCTCTGGGAGCCTTGGGTCAGAGAAAGAAAGAGAAGTCAGAGGTTTTGATCTTGCACCTAGATCTGAATCTCCCTGCATTCTTCTCAGCTCTGCAGTCACTAATATGTAACATGCTGTAGAACTTGGCTACAGGTTATATAATTTATAAGTAAAGCATTTCAAAAGCAAATTATTAGTATGACCAGAATTGTGAAATGAATATTTAATATTTATTGAGTTCTTTAAGAATGGCAATATATTTAAGGAATACTCTTCTCTATATAAATACTAGATACTGGAATGGTGTTTGTCTGTTCCTTCAGACACTGCCCCAGGCACTTAGAAAGTAGCACATGGGGACTGTCATGGTGTGGAGAGGAATCTCCAGTTTTGTGGGTGGTATGGGCATTGCATGGTGCCTGCTGGCATGGACCTGGGAATTGGGATGCCTGGAGTTTTTGGCCTCAGGCTCTGACACTCACTACCTGTGTGACCTTGGGCCCTGGTATTCCCAAACCTTACAGTTTATGATGACAGTTATGTAAGGAAATGTATGTAATACTACCTAGCCAATAGTCAGTGCATACCCATTTTGCTGATTGTCACTATGAACACAGACTTTTTCTGGCCTGAGGGTGTCTTGCTATCATTAGACTCTCTCAAAATCTGTGACCTTCAAAGAGGTAGATACTGAACCTGAACCAACAATAAATCTCTTCTTTTGGGTAGTTAGAGAGGATAATGAGCATGGAGCTGAGGATAACAACCAGGGCTGAGACCCATTGAATACCACTGAGCTAGACCCTGGTCATGGGCATTGCACCTGAAGGAAAGCCGACTGGGCGTATGCTTGTCGCTTCCAGGCAGTTCCCTTCATGCTCTTAAAATATGCCTCTTTGGGGCTGGAAATTAACTCAGTGGTGCAGGGCTTGCTTAGCAAGGGTAAGGCCCTGGGATCCATCTCTCTAGCCCTGAAAACCAATTGAAAAAGTCTCTGTATTAAACTTCAAAATTCTCCCTCCTGGGAAGTGAATAAAAGAGAGGCCACTGCCAGCACAAACCAAACAGTGCAATGCCTACATCCTCCCATGGAGGGGAGTGGGGTCTTCCTCCTAGGCTACCTCATCCCATGGCTGCGATTTGCCCCCCTGCAACAGGGATGCATACCCAACTTGTGAGGTGGTTGATGTCCAGCTGTGCTACAACGTGGCCAAGCTGATCTACCTGTGTGGGGAGAGGTAAGACACAGGGCCCTGCCCTGAG